GAATACCTCCTCGATTTTCATGCTCCCCTGATACTTTTCGAAAAATTTCGAAATTTCAAATTTAAGTGAATACCTGCCCCATTTTTATGCTCCTCTGATACTTTATTGAAAATTTTTCATTTTTCAATTTCAGTGAATACCAATTTCGTAACACATAGCATAAAATTCACCCAATTGATTGGTCCCCCTAAAGAGGATTGACCAAAGTAGAGGCTCAGTTCTGGGGGTTTGAGTGACCCCAGCGGCATCGTAGTAGCCGACCCCATAAGAGGGAATAATTTTTTTGTACTCTTAATTTATTTATATGCACATGGTGAGCCATCCTAGAATACAGCAAGTACCTCCAAAAGGGGTGATTTTGCTGGAGCGTTTGTCACCTGTGAATGTGTAATAGTAACAACTCCCACAGAACATCAGAAATCCTGACATCCACAGGGCAGCAGTCTGGAAGAGATATTTTTACTCAATATAAATATAAATAATAATTTTTTCATTGAATCATGTGCCTTAATACTGATCAGAACTGGTGCCCTGCACGTAACCAGCCCCACCATAGCCAGGGAATGATAAAAATGATATCTATTCGCTGTCTCAAACACTTGCTTCAATTGATCGTCCTTATATTTCCCTAAAAAAAAAATATAAATAATTCTTAATCAAGAATATAAGGACCTGATGACTGAAAAAATAAAAAAAAACCGCTGAGTCCTGCCAATTTCAAATAAGGCCCTGAGGCTGCTGCCGATTTCCACAAAGGCTCAGGTGGAACCAGTTTGTACTCAACACGGGGCTGGACGCCTGAATAATTATTAATTATAATAACCTAAAAAAATCATGGATATTCATTCCTCATGTAATTAACAAATGTAAAAAAAAAACAATTTTGATCGCTGTATGGTATCTACATGACCTCAAAGTTTCAAAAATAGAATAAACTATAGAAGCATTACCCAGTCTCCAAAAATCAGGCAATAACAATAAATAAATTGATTCCTCTTATTTTTTAGTAAAAAATAACAGCGACTTACAGCTGATGCAACAGTTTTCGCAAACGAACCGGCATTCGAGCTGACGGGATTAGAAAACAGAACGTAATTCAATGTATCTGATACTCCCATTCACGTTTCAGAGATCCAATCGAAGTGTTTTTGATGGTCAAGACCAAAATCCACACGCTAAATTCTCTTCAATCAATTATTTTTCACTGACTATTGGATTTTACGTGATTGCACTGTTTTTTTTTAAGAGAGAATTATTTATTCGGTTAAGACTTTTCGCAATTATCTTATCTCTTCAAATTGAGACTGCCCGCGGTGTTCTGTGCGCATGCACGCTCTTCTGTGCGCAAGCAGGGTGTTCTGTGCGCATGCGCGGAGTATCGCCTGGCGACCCCCACTCGAGCGCCGTCTCCAACGCCCCGCCATTTTGAGTGGGGAGTCAGTCGTTCGGCGGCAGTGCGTGGAACGGTCGGTTGCGTGTCGTGTAGTGAAAATTCGTTAACATCGGGGTTCTAGTGAGTGCAGAAAACGTGCACCGCCTGTGAACATTGAAAATACAAAGTGCAGGACTCAGTGCAAGTGATTTTGGGATGTGAAATAATTTTTTAAACAGTTTATCAGAGCATTTTTAGTGATTCAGATTTTTCCTTTCTTACACTGAACTTCGGCATTGCCGAACGGCCGCCCGGCCGTGTGTTTACAAAAATACCTTTGTCCGTTTCTCGGAATTGTGTAGTGTGTGTTTAGATACGGACTGAAGTGAGAGTGCGAATTAGTTTCGAAGGATTACTTTTATCATTCATGTTATTTTGAATGATTAAAAATATTATTTGATCTTTGATATTATTTTATATCTTTGTGAATTTTTAGTTGATAAAACATTCTTGGTTGTGTGGTGAGTGATTAGTGAATTTTTGAACTGTCTCGAGTGCTAGTGCTTCCAAGCCGTGAGCTTCAACCTTTGGCGTCAGAATCACATAGAGATC